AACAAAGTAAACATGGCAACCACTTTTGAAAAGGACCTCTAATCATTGGCTAACTGGGGCAAAAAAATGGCTTGTAAATTTTAAAATGATGCTAAACTCATAGAGAGCAATACTTTGCCCCTTTTTGGGCTCATGACGTGGAGTGGCTATATTAAATCAATTGCTACATCTACAGCTAGGAAAGTTGGTTCACTATGTCATACCAGAAAATTTTTCTCATTGGAATCCATCTTGAACATTTATAAATCTACCATTCATCTGTACACTGAATACTGTTGCCATATCTGGTCTGGTGCTCCTGCTGTACATCTCAAGATTATTGACAAAATTCAAAGAAAGGTCTGTAATGTAATTGATTCAGACCTAGCTTAGTGACTTTCTGTTTTGTTATTTTTTTTTTTTTTTTTTTTTAAGTAAAGTTTCAGACCCGGGGGTGGGGGGTGTTGGGGGTCACTCAAGATAGAGGGTTATGTTAGGAGGCCATTTGTGCGTATACCAGTGGAAGATAAAAATTTACCTTGACCAGGTTAAGATTATAGTGATCAGGGAAACATCCTGTTGGGAGTCACAGTGGTTTGTGGGAAGCTGTTCTAGAGGAACTTACTTCTCACTGATGGAATTTCCCACAAAGGGAATGTGGGTGGTTTGCTACTATGTAAGTGGCATGGCGTTTTCTTGCCATGAAGGTTTGACTTGGTGGAACCAGAAAATATAATTCGTCCAAGAACTTTTCATGGTAGTAGTGGTAGAGCAACAAGAGGTTTGCCACATCCCACCTGTGGGAGAAAAGGTGGAGAATAATTCTTCACCCACAAGGGCTAGGAGATGCTTTGGGATTCTATCAAAGCTGGAGAGTGAGGTCCAAGCAGCTCCCACCCAAATATGACAACAGTACTCTGTTTTCTGTTTGATCTGGCTCTAGTAAAGGTAGAGGATGGCAGGAGGAATCAAGTACATATTGGAATATGATACAGGGAGCTAATCATTTTACCTGCATCTTTAGGGATGGTTTGTATATAAGAGTTCCACTTGAGGCCAGGTGCAAGTTTGAGGCCCAATAGTCTTTCAAGGCACAATATCTCCCCAAGAGGACATCCGCTCATCCTGATTGATGGTATTCCAAGGTCAGATGGGTGATGATGGAATGTAATTACCCTGGTCTTCAAGTCATTGAATGTAACCAGCCAGTTTTTACCCCATTGGATAGTTTGTGTAAGATCAGAAGAGAGATCAGTTGCCAATCTCTGACCATCGAGACTTTTAGAGGTGCACCCATATATAGTCATATCATCAGCATAGATGAATATATTTTTAGGCAGATCATTTATGTAAATCAAAAAGAGGGTTGATTCAATGAGTGACTCTGAGGAGATGCCTGTATTTGCTGCTACTGTTCTGGAGAACTGACCATTAATAACTACCTTCAGGGATCTACCTGTTAGAAAGGATTTTATGATCAAGAAGACCCTTCCAGTGATTCCATAACTGGAGAGCTTGTGTAGCAAACCTTTGTGCCATACCTTATCAAATGCCTTTGAGATATCTAATGCTCTGGTCCTCGAGGTGTGTTTGTCATCAAAAGCCTTACTAATTTTGTGAATGATGGTAGTTAGGACATCAGCAATGGATTGAAACTCATACTGCTCATCACTTAAGAGGTTGATTTTTCTAGGTGCTTAATGACCTTCTTATTGATTATGGCCTCAAAAAGCTTACTGATGATACTGAGGAGACTTTTGGGCCTGTACTGGGAAGGGAAAGATCACATTCCCACATTCCTGAAGACCGGGTATATGCTTGACACATTCCACAGGCTTGGGAAGGATTTCTCCTTCAAGCAGTGGTTGAATAACTTTGCTAGGATTGGGAATAATTCCAGGTTGATAGTCTTAAGGACAACCACTGAAATTTTGTCTGGACCAGTGGCTTTCTTAGTGTCAAGGCTTTTCATAAGTCTAGAGACTTCCTGTGCTGTAATATTACAGAGATTGTGCTCAGTGAAACGTGGGAATTTAGGGAGGGGATTGTCTCTGTCATCTAACATTGAGTTAGAGGCAAAGATCAAGACAAAGTGGTTTGTCTTGTCTGTTGAGAAGGATATGACCTTGGGACCATTTATAATTGTGGGCACCGCCACTCTACCTCTGTTCATGATTTGGTTGGTAATCTTCCAGAACTCACAGGATCCAATTTGTTTCTTTTTAACCTTGGTCTGGACTGCTCATGTGTAGCTGCACTTGGCATTTTCTAGAACTTTTTTTGCAGCGATTACAAGCAGTTCTGAATACAATGAGGGCCAAACTACATCACTTCTTGTGATAGATATTGAAGTAGTGGTTTCGGCGAGTTATGACTGCAGCACATTCAAGAGTGAACCAGGGCTGACTGTTTGGTTTTTGCTGGAATCTTGGGGGTTGGATGGGGTTATAAAACTCTACATTTCAGAAAGGATCTAATCAGTAACAGGGCTATCAGTTTTGAAGGCAGCATACTTGAAGAAGGTTAGTAGGGGAGCTTACCAATGTGACATGGATTTCCTCTAACTTTTCTACAAATATTTTCATGGTAACTGCATGAATTTAAGTGTGCTACTAGATTGGCAATTAGGTCTCACTATTTTAATGTTAAATTAGCTAGATGCAACTGTCTCTTCTATTCTAATAATTTTTTTTCTTATATGTCTCACCTTTGGAACTCCCCTTCCAATTTCTTGCTTCCTTGTCAATCTTCAAAATAATAAATGCAAGATTAATTGCCATTTTCTTTCTTCCTGAACCCTGTTCCTTTATTTTCCTTTCCTCACTAAAGTCTCTTCTCGTTCTCCTTCATTTCCTGTAACCTTCTGCGTCCTAGTGGCATTATCAACTTGCTTGGGTTGAAATGATTAAAATCCACCATCCCAGTCATAGCATTAAACCTAAATATAGACATCCTGGTTGACTGTTACCAAAGACACAATAAATGCCTTCCCTCCAGTTATATCCGCTTGATTCCAAACTTGATCTTGTGATATATCCTGTTACAGATGGTGATATCCTGACTTTATCATTGAAACCCTGTCACAAGGTTATAAAGAAATAGAGCATTCATGGAAACATTGTTACAAATGTACTGAAAAATCTTTACTTAAATGAATTTAATTAAATTTTCATCTTTTTTTTTTTTTTTTTAATTTTCCAACTTCTTATTATCAAAAAGAAGAAAAATTAAAAGTAATCATTAAAATCATCTTTTTATTTGAAGAGGGAAAATTGTTCCATGCCTTTAAGACAGTATACAAGGGGATGCAAAAGTAGTTATATATTAATGAAAAACAAAACGTGCACACAAAAAATGTATTGATTATACAAACATATCAATACTGGTATAATACTTACTATATACCTACTTTTATATACTGTCTTAAAGGCATAAAACGATTTTCCCTTTTTTTTTTTTTTTTTTTTTTAAGTTGAGTTCACCCCAAGCATGGCAGTAAAGCCACTGAGTTACTCATCAAAAACATTGCTGAGGAGCAAGAACAAAAGAAAAGTAATCGGGGGTACAGTAGATAGCAATTGATATTGCATTTAAATTTTTGCAGTTGACTGAAAAGCATGGAGCCAGGAGGTAGTGCCACAAGTGAGAAGTGTGAGAAAAGAAACTGTTAACATAGAATTTATCATTACATCAAAGCCAACTCAGCTGTAAATTGATGCCAGTCTAGTACTAAAAAAATGTTTTCAATGATTTACTTTTAATTTTGCTTCTTTTTGATAATCAACATGTAACATATTGATACTAACATCAGTTGAAACTTGAATAAACTTGATTCTTGTCTCCTTTCTGCCTTTTAATTGGCTTTATAAATGCTGATATATTGGGATGAGAAATTATAATGCCATGGTCTATTGTTTGCAGAATATTTAAAAACACTCATGAATAATATGACCAGAAATTTATTGAAAATAGCAGTTCCATGAGGTTTTCATTTTAAATTTTCATATATAAATTAATTCAAAAAAGTTCACTAGCTCATTTAAATTTTTTTTCCATTGTTCAAAACATTTTTTCTAGGAAACTTTCTATTTTGACAACACTATTTGTTGCATTCTTTCTCTTTGATATCAAAATTATAAATGTAACCTTCGTAGAATTTTTTTATTTATTTTTTTAAGAGCCCAAAATTTTAAGGCAAGTTGTCACTTTTTAACAAAATTTGGCAACATCACACTATGGTTGAAACCATATCCCAGATCATCAACAAATAGAAGATTCATGAAAACATTGCAACAAATATATTTTAACAGTATTAATTTTGGTTGATGCAAAATTTTCCACATTTTTAACACAGAACCATTATTCAGTCATCATAGTTTTTTTTTTTTTTGTTTTTTTTTTTTGCCTTACTTTGGCCATATATTAACTTTCAACAACATTGTGTATTTCAAGAAAATATATTTTATCTCTTTCGGAAAAAGATCTCAAGCTAAAATACAATAATTTTATTTTCCTATTAACACTAAATAACATTTTATTTAACCACAAATGGCCTATATTCCTGTTAATGAGTCAAAATATTCTTGTGTTTTTGTCATATGAGAATATAGAGGCTTGGCTTTTTCCCTATTCTAACCTACTGATTCTATTTAGGAAAAAAAAATGTAATTCCTTTTGCTTTTCCAAGAAAAAGAAAAGAATGTACTTATTTGCTAGTTTGAGAGCTGGGAAAAGAATTTGAAGCAATGTCAAATTTAAGATGCTGAGAAAACATTACAGTAATGTTTTTCTTCATAACACTAAGAATGTTACATCTTGCATATAAAAGTAATTTGATTTTATAAAAAGGAAAACTAAAAAATTCCTAATTAAAAATTATATTAGCTTCAATGTGTTTTGTATTTTAATTTCATTCTTATTGAATTATGTATCTTGACAAAAAAAAAGTATTATGTTATAGATAAACATTTCTGTAAAATAAATACTATTTTTTATCCTTATATAATTTTTCTTTCCTCTAGAATCCCTATATGGGCAGGTGTGTTAATTACAGGCATTGACACTTTTACATTCCTGTTTCTTGAAAGTGCTGGTCTCCGGAAGTTAGAGGCTTTATTTGGCGCCCTCATTACTACAATGGCAATTTCATTTTCTTATATGGTAGGTATGCCTTTTTAACATCAGTAACATTTATTATTGTTAATCATAGTCTGTGCTATCACAACTGATTATTTGGTAAGTTAATTTTCAGAGAAATAATTGCATAAAGGTATAATGAATATTTCTGATACGAATTAAGACACCTTTATCAGACCTGTTAATTAAGTTCAGGTCATGGCTCTCAACAACTTCCTCTCTTTTGTAGCTCCTAAGATTCATAATGATTTAATAAATAAATCTTTATGTGCCATGTCTGTTAAGGATATTGGCGATCATGACTCTCCACAATTTACTGTTCTTTGCAGCTCTCAGTAAAGTGTCTTTTTGCTATCTCTCCTAATTCCTGTTCTGCCATCTATTTACCAAAGCTCATTAGGTCCAGTAGCAAGATCTCTGAGTGGGAGAATAGAGGTTCTGAGAAGCATGAAAACACCTCTTAATTGCCGTCGTTCCCAGGTCTGCCTTGACTCAGGGTGGTAGCACCTGTTAGGGTCCCAGCTATGGGTAAATAGTGAGCCCCAAAATACTATGAAAGTATAAAAATGCTTTTTTATAGTAAAAATGCCAGCAATATATTCTTATATAGTAAAATGACTAGCAATACATTTTATAGCAGAATACTAACAATACATTTTATATGTAATTGAAGGCATACAATTGCATTCGAAATATTTAGATTTCAGCATTAAATAACTGATAGAGGTTGATAATTTGCTAAACAAACTAACCAAGCTCATTAGATTAGTTGCTGCTTTGATCTGTCTTTCTTGATTTTTGTTTTAACCATTTCACTCCAAGCAAGGCGGGAATGCTACTAGTACGCGCTTGGGGCTTACAGAGAGAGAAAATGAGAGAAAAGACTGGGTATAGAGGGATTGAGAAAAGAATAAAAGATGAACTAATTCAAGAAGACAGAAGATAGTGATTGACGTATGTAAATTTTTGAAGATTGTAGTTATTAGGGAAGCAAGTAAACAGAAGGGAGTTCTACAGGCGGAAAGTGCTCAAAAAGACACTGTTGGAGTAGAAGTGGCAGTTACATTTACCTAATTCAACAGTAAAAGGGTGGGACCTAGATGCCAATCTAGTAGTACGCTTAAATTCAAGGTTGAGGCACCCGGTGAAAAAAAAGCTCATCAGAGCAGTTGCCATGAAAATATTTGTAGAAAAAATGGAGAAGACACGCCACATCAGTGAGAAAGTGACTGAAGTCGAGATGCCAAGTCAGGATTGATTACATTACAGATCATTCTTTGAAGTTTGTCAAGAACCTCAAGATGAATAGCAGGAGCACCAGACCAGATGTGGCAGCTGTATTCAATATACAGATGAATGGTAGATTTATAAATGTGCAAGATGGATTGTGATGAGAAAAACTTTGGCGGTGGAAAAGTAAGGCCGTGATTCTAGGTAAGGACCAATAACATTACATTTCTTTGAGAATCTCAAGATATATAACAGATGCACCAGACAAGATATGGCAGCAATATTCAATGCACTGATGAATGGTAGATTTATAAATGTGCAAGATGAACTCTGATGAGAAAAACTTTCTGGCACAACACAGTTACCTACTTTCCTTGCAGTAGATGCATTTATTTATTTAATGTAGTCATTCCACTTCAAAATATGCCTGTGAGTGTATAAGTCATTATCATATTCTGCAAATTAAAGGCTCTCACCAAAGTTAAGAAATGTACAGCCTGGTCAGTACCTAGATGGATGACTGCTTGGAATAACAGGTGCTGTAAGTTTGGATGTTTGGATATGCTGGTGGTGTGATGAATAACTACTTGTAATTAGAAATTAAAGAGCAGAGTTCTAATTCCAGTCAGGTTTGTTATATTTACTTACACACAAATAGCATTGGGAAAGGTATGAATCAACTTTTTCTCACCCCAGATATAGGTTAATTAGTAAGACTTACATCAGTAAATCATTCATTATTGCCAAAAAATTCTTATGCTCTAAAAATATATACTAATTTTAAATAACCTGCAACAGGTTAACAAGCCATGAAAGACGAATCAATCAATCTACAAATTAAAAAATAAAAGTTGAAGCATTGACCTTCAACCCCTCAGATCATATGACTGGATCATATGCATCCTCCTAAGGAATAATTAATTTTAATAAGATTGGGGTTTGTGAATAGGAGGACTGTTGTGTTGTTATTTGTAAAAGAGTCTTGTTCTTAAAATTGAATTTTAACATTAAATGTCTACACAGTCGATCAGCAGGAGTGATGTTCTATTTAATCCTGCTTCTGAGTATAGTCTTCTAGTGTTATAGCAATCCAATAGTCTTTAAATATGATGTTCAAGCTATTAATCATAAAACAAATGAGAAGTTTTATTAATCATTCAGTGAAAAGTATATGGCACCATAGTCCAAACCAAACTTATAATAAAGGAGTTTAGTAGTCTTCATTTTATAATTATCTAAAAAGGACAAACATGGAAGATACCAACTAAAATTAGAGAAATGTTCATCCCAATATCAAACATTTGATAATTTTTAATAGCAAACCTACTCAGTACATCATTCTCACAAAAATGGACTATCATGTGAGACAAATATGACCAAAAGTTATTTGTATAATACTATATACAGTTGTGGTAGGAAATATTTTGTAGAAACAGGCCATCTCCTAAAATGAGATTTGAACATAATTTGAGGTAAAGCCATGAAATCAGGTATGGCAGAGCATGTGTGAAAAGAAAAGGGAGTACATCTTTAGAATGATGTTCTAATAATAGAATAGAGAATTTTAATGGAGTATGCTTGCAGTGAAGGAAATCGAATAGCTGAGCCTAACAAGAAGCTGCATTTGCTGAACCAGAGGCTTTGTCTTTGCACATTTGAGAAGTGAAAGACTTTAGCAAGAAAAAATTACATTGTTAGTGTTATGCATATGTATTTATTGTATGTTGATGAATTTTACACATAAATATAATAAAACATAAATATTGCTCTCAACAAAATAGGGTGCAGCAGAAATACCTCTCACATAATGATACCATAGCCACTAATGTCTTGCAATTATGTGGGAGATATTTCTACTGCCCCCCCCCCACATAGATATATATTATATTATATCATAAAGAAGTAATTATACAAAGAATTGATTAGCAATGTTAATGAAGTAAATGTAGTGTAGACCAAAAGATGTTTTTAAAATATGCTATTTATTGACAGTTATATTATTTTGGGACATGTGATGCTGCAATTCTAGAGTCCTTGTTTAAATGATTCAAGTGAGAATTTTGTTTGAATTTAGTAATATATATATATATATATATATATAAAATAGTATTTATCCCTTACCTGTAAAGATATGGGACTGACTTAATTTTAAGCATCTGACAATCTGTTCTATCATTATGAAACTTGTAATTATGCTTATTGTTTTTAATAGGGACCCCAAAAATGTAACATTTACACTTTGTCTCCCTATGAGATATTGAGCACTGTATTAAAAAAATCAGTAATAGCTTGCATTTAATTGAAATTTTATTTCATTTAATCATTTATAGATATATAATTATGATCATTTGGTCACATTTTGGTAAAGCTTTTCAGCACCCCAGTGTAAAATACCAGATAACTATTAAATGATCCACTTTTTGAATTCTTTATATCCGTTTATCTGCTAAGCATAGAATGGAAATTTTTACATGTTCTTTCTCCTATGTGTTTTTAGTATTTACTGTCTCCATATAAGGTAATAAAATGTATTTTTTTGATAAATGACATATACTGACAGTTTTCTTTGATAAATGACATATACTGACATGTTTCTTTGATAACCCATTGCCATGATGAGTTAACATCAACAATTCTAAATCATTTTTCTTTTTTTGTAGTTCTTTACTGTGAAACCTGATGTGATTGAAATATTGAAAGGTCTTGCTATTCCTTGGTGTTCAGGTTGTAGTAAGGATGCCATCCAACAAATGGTGGGCATTATTGGCGCTGTCATCATGCCACACAACATTTATCTCCACAGTTCTTTGGTTCTGGTAAGACTTCTTTTCATGCACACATTTTATTATAATTCTTTGGCAATATCTTTGAATTCTCTATGATTAAAGGATTTATGGAAATTAACAAAGGTTGCATGTTTATGTACTTCAGGTGTATGCATGTTCACTTGATAAACAAAGAAGCATACAAAAGTTGTGTTTCTACCATGGACCATTTATTTTCTTTTTTATTTAAGCTACAGTGAAACAAAGTTATCAATATCTCTTGGGTATGTCCATTTTCTTTTTCTATGTTCAGAAGTTAGGATAAGTAAGTATTAGCATTAGATATCTCAAAGGCCTTTGATAAAGTATAGCACAAAGGTTTCCTAATAAAGTTCTCCCTTAATGGAATCATTAGAGGGGTCTTCTAAATCCTTCCTCACAAGTAGGTCCCTGAAGATAGTTAGAAATAGCTAGTCTTCCGGGGCCTTGTCAGTCAATGCAGGTGTCCCTGAGAGGTAATTCTTTGGACCAACCCTCTTTTTGATTTACATAAATGACCTGCCTAAGTATATTATTAGATCCTTTGTAAACATCTATGCTGATAATATGAATCTATACTCTTGCACCACTAAAATTCTTCATGATCAGAGATTGGCAGCTGATCTTTCTTCCCATCTAGTATGAACGACTCAATGTAGAAAAAAATGTCCAGTTACAATCGATGCCTCGAAAACCAAACAAGTTACATTCCACCATTGTCAATCGGACCCTGAACTACTGTCAGTCACAGTTAATGTATATCACTTTGGAGAGGCACTGTACCTTGAGAGACAATTGGGACTTAAACCTGACTTCTAATGGAACAGGTACCTGACTATTTATCTGCATCTTTAATGAGGACTCATATGTGAGTCCTCGTTGAAAATGCAGATAGATAGTCAGCTACCTGTACCTCTCCAGTAATTATCTGACTCTTTATGCCATCCTCTACCTTTACTAGAGCCAGATCAGGCCGAAAACAGAGTACTGTTGTCATATTTGGGTGGGAGCTGCGCAGACCACACTTTCCAGCCTTGATAGAGTTCAAAAGCATCTCCAAGTCCTCGTAAGTGACAAATTATTTTCCACCCTCCAACCTCACAGGTGGAATGTGGTAAGCCTCTTGTTGTTCTATTGCTATGTTCATGGAAAGTGCTCGGATAAACTACATACTTGGGTTTCACCAGGCCTAACCTTCATGGCAAGGACCCGCCATACCACACGCATTCCTTCTGTATTCCATCAGTGAGAAGTAAGTTCAACTCAAACAGCTTCTACCTGCAAGTCATTGCTCTGTGGAACCAACTCCCAAGTGGATATTTTTCCCAATCACTATAATCTTAACCTGTTCAAGTCTAGGGTTAAATGTTATCTTCCTCTCCTATTCATGCAAACTGCCTACTAACATGACCCTCTGTTTCAAGTAGCCCCCTGACTTTGTACAGGGTGAACCTTACTTTAAAAAAAACAAAAAACAAAAAAAACATTATATTTATGATCAATTGCAGAGTTGGAACAACCAAAGAGAAAGCTTGACTTACTTCATAGGTTGATGTTTATGAAGAGATATGCAAGTGCCATGTGTCGAAAAGTGGGAAGAGAGTTCAGTGGAACACAGAAACTAATGTTTCTCAATCAGAACATAATTACCAATGTAATGTTTTCTTGGCAGGAATTTAATACCACATCTTGGAACAAGGGAGTGAAAGAGGAGCCAGGAAGGAAATTTTTTTTTCTCTTTTTATAGGCGCCACCTAACAGCATTTGATGAAACCAAGTGGGATAACCCTATTTCCAATTACTTTACTCTTAGCAGCATCAGAAAATGTATTTCTTTTTTTTATTATTCATTATTATTACTTTATTATTATTATTACTAATTTTCCCACAGACTGATTCCCTGATCTTTTTGCCAAAGATTTGTCTATCTGATGTCACTAAACTGCATCAATTTCTTTGACATTCCTAGTATAGTCAGTTATTCTTCATAACAGAAAAGTAACTAATTCACTACATCAAGTTAAATGATTGTAACAGTTTCAAAACATTTCAATGTATAATACAAAATTTAAATATACATGAATTCATGGTTGTTCAAACATAAATGACTTCTCTTTTTTTTTTTATGGTGATGATAATATTAAACATTTCCTCCATAAGGAAATATTCAGAATTTACTGACTGAGCAGCCAGTGTTGAATTTTGGCTAAAATTTATGAGATCTCTCTCTCAAAACAATTTTACAAGAAAATAGGTTTCTCAAGTCCACTGTTGTTGCTCTTTTCACTATTGATAAGGACTTCCTTCCTAAACTTTTGTTCAAAGAAGTGAGAAACACCAGAATCTTTGTCATTATTTTCTCTTTGATTTATATTAACTACTCATTTTAGTTGTTGCTATTGTTGAAAGTACTTGGGTGATGTCGTCTCTGTTATTTGGGACAGTTCTTTGTTTATGATTCTGTAATGTTAGATCACAAGGTTCAAAGAAGGATCATCCTCAATAAAACCTCGGGTTCCATTTGCTTAAAATTATTTTTAAACATTGATCTAGAAAGCAGTTGTATACAGCTGACAATTTAGATATCTCTAAATGGATTCAAGGTGTACAATATCAGATGGGACCAAATAGTAGCCCAAGTTATTTTTTATCATTACTCTTTATTTATATACAGTTATCATTTTGCTTATGAACGAGAATGCTGAGTTTTGAAGTTGAAACTAATCATTGCATTGTGAGAATTTGTATAAATTCTGACTTGTTTTATTTTCTTTCTTTTGTTTAGAGTCGTGCGATAGATCATAGGAGCCCACAACAAATCAAGGAGGCAAATAAATATTATAGCATTGAATCAAGTAAGCATTCTTTCACTTTTTTAAGTCATCTGCCTTTTTGAAAGTTTGTCATCTCAAATGACTTATATAAGCCCATGACCAGAATTCCTTACCTTCTAGGTGAGTGGCACTTGATCCTGATAGTTTTCATTTATTTATTTACTCTATTTCCTTTTCCCTACTTTTAAACAGCAGCTGGTCCCTTTGAACATCTCATTTTTAGGCTTTACTGTTGGTCATAAAAACACTAGACACTTCAGACTCAGATGAAATCATTTAGTCCACTTTACTTCATCAGTGTTCTAAGCCATAGTCAGGTCTCATAGTTGCATATTTCTCAGCATGCAGAAGTGGGGGCAGAGGGTGCAACAGCCCCTGGTCATCTGTATCAGGAGGGCATCTGCTCAAAGAGTGAAATAAAAATTTAGTTTATATTTAATTTGAATAAAGTGTTTAATTCATGTTTTATCTGTTTTTGAATATTTAAAATGACTTTCTTTCTCACATTTCTCAGTACTAGCCTCCCCATCCACTTGAGTCTTAGGGGCATACAATAAAGGAGTTGGCCCTGGGCATCCCCAAACCTCTGTATGTCACTGCTGGTGACACTATCCTGGGTTCAAGCCTAACAGCTGATATTTCAAAGTAGATGAGCTCTCACCATTTGTAAAATTGCCACAACACACTCTTTCTTTTCATCTCATGTAGCTTCCTCATGTGAGTTAAGTAGACATTTATTGATGTGATCTCATCTTTCACATTCTGTGAGTATTAGAAACCTTACTGAAAATCTTTTTTCCAACATTGAAAGTTCTTAGTCCAACTAAAATAGAATTCAAAAAACAAAAATATCAATGTTTGGCCATTTGTCCAGATTTTTAGGCCAAGAACTTTTCAGTATCTCCTTATAATTGTGAACATATTAATAATATTGAATTAAAATTATTTTTAATTTCCAGGTATTGCTCTCTTCATCTCGTTCATTATTAACCTGTTTGTAGTATCTGTGTTTGCTGCTGCTTTCACTGGAAAAGAGGCAACTCTCTATGGTGCTGTAAGTATTCATTCTTTGATCTTTGTACAATGAACTGGGTACTTCTCTGCTGTGGCCTTGTGCCATGCTATCTTAATACTTCAAATGCCATGCCATGGGACAACAGTTAGAAAGCTCATTACCTGACTATTGCAACTGTAATGTGTTCAGTCCTCATCAGGAGCCTCATTATTATGACCTTGTGCCAAGCTAAGCTTAGTAATTATCAACATACAGTGAAGCTGCAGTGAGTTAGATTCCATCATTTAACCATGAATGCCAGGCTTTCATTTTGATACTGCATTGTTACAAGTAATGAAAAATGGGTTTTGCATGGAAACAGAAAACAAAACAAAGTAGTTACCACAAAATGAGAATCAGTGGCAACATCAAAACCAAGACTCCATCCTCAAAAATCTGTTGTGGGTGGCATATATATATATATATATATATATATATATATATATGTATATGCAAACAGATATCAAATGAAGGAAGACAATATCAAACAAAGTCAAAACTTGAGTAAAAAAAAAAAAAATATTTATTTTGTCAAAGAAAATACATTAACAAAAATTAAGGTTATAGTGCATTATGCAAAAAATATCTCTGCATGTTCATGTAGAGGGTGAGAAGAGTGTTGTCCTGAGAAGGACAGTTTTGTAGTCGCTGACTGTAACGTCACCCTACAGCCAGCCGCTTCAGTTGAGAAAAGACAGCTAAATAGCTGCAAAACTCTTCATCGCAGACCAAACTCCTTGGTAAATTGGTTCTGGAGATGCTGTTGAAATGCCTTGCACATGTTGTTGGTCAACTGCAGGTGGTGTCCATCTGAGGTGTAAACTGCACAATTGTGGTGATTGGATCCTCTGACATATTTCCTCCTTGCCCAATTCTGTGTCCATATTCATGGCTTCATTAGGCATCTTGTTTAACCCATGCCTAACTACCTGACCCTGGTAGCACTTGCTAGCTGATCATTCCAGAGCCTGCCTAGCCTGCTCTAGGGAATCCCCATAGATTCCACCCATACCAGACTTTCTTTAATTGCCTTCACCTTCTTAGTCTTATCTAGGGCAAGTTATTGGCTAAAATCAGTGGTGAAAGACCTAATCCTGTCCTTAAGCCTCTCCCACCACTTATCTCTAATAACTGCTCCACTAATTCCACTGCACTAAACTAGTCAGCTGTTGCTAGAAGTCCCTTCTGTCCAGTAAGGATGAGTTGAATTTCCAGTGTCTAACCAGTCTAGGCCTAGAGCCTAACACCATCCATCCACAAACAAGTTTATGGTCCGAATAGCCTAATCAGTGGAACATGGGACAATCTATCAAATCTAGATCGATCCTTCTCATTAACATTCTTTCCAGGTAGTTGACTACCTGGGTAACCCACTTAATAGCCCATTTCCACATCTTCCACCCCAGTTGATTGACCCTGTATCTATCAACAAGACCAAACTCACCGATCAGATCTACCAGGCTACAATCACTCATCTTACCACGGAAAGTGGCTTTTCATTGCTTTGAGGCCTTTTTATATCCTGAATCAGTTTTATAATGATCACTGGTTAAGCTTTTGGTTGTTTTTAAAAAATGTGGGAGTGCCAACAGGATACAGCAAATCTTTTCCTGGTGTCTTACAAGCTGCTGGAACATGGAATGACAATCACTTTTTGACTACTTGATTTGTCAAACAAAGCATTATGCTGAAAGAGTTCTGCTTTGGTAAACAGATGGCAATATAAACACAAGCCCAAGAAAGAAAATAAGTTCATTAGGATTGAGTTTCTTCCATGTCCTGATGACCTAGGATTTATGACCATATCATGTTGAAACACTGGTTCTCTGATGATCACCAAAGTTGAGCAATGTCAGGCCTAGTCACTACCTAGATGGGTGACCACTTGGGAATACAAGGTACTGTAAGCTTGGATGTGCAGTTGGTGTAATGGCTTGGAATTGGAAATTAGAGAATCAAGTTCCAATTCTAGTTGGGTTTATTATAGGGAGTTACCTTATCTTCCCCATACTATGGGTTAATTAGGAGAACTCATATCTGTAAATCATTACAATAATTAAAAAAGAAAATTCTTACAATCTAAAAATATTTTCTGGCTTTAAATAACCTGCAAAGGGTCGATAACCCTTAAAAAACAAATCACTCAATCATAAATCACTAGTAGCATCTAAAGATTTTCATTTGTTTTCATCACTAGAACATTTCACTGACTGCATCTCCATATTCAGAAACAAAAAGTTGAAAACTCCTTTAAACATTTTTAGGAGGAAAATCACAGATTTCATTAAGTATGGAATTGAAAATTTGTCTTCTTTATTATGCTCCACACTAATCTCAGTAAATAAACTGTTTGCATTATCTGAAAGATATAGGATTTATTTGTGACTGAAGAAAGGAGTTTTTTGAACTAACTTTCTGCTATTGAATATAGATTTGACCAACCCATCTCTAGGTAACCTTGCTAGATGTAATAATATTAAAACTGCACATGAGTGAAAATACATGATTTTTTTTTTTTCATATACAGGGTATTTGGATTGCCAAGAATTATTCTATCACAATGAAAATAATATGGGGAGTTGGTGTCTTAGCTTCTGGACAGAGTTCTACGATGACTGTAAGTAAAAAAAACAAAAAAAAACAATCAGTGTGTATGTCTATACATGTATATAGGAGAAGCTCTTTACAAAATCTTGCATAATATTAGGAAAATTTGTTTCCTGTTTGTTGCTCAGGAGTTTATTTTTGTTGAGGTGTTCAATAACTTTCTTGTTTACAATAGCTTCAAAAAGTTTAGTAATGACACTAAGGAGGCTGATGGGGTGATATTAAGGCAGGAATGAGGGTTCACCTTCATTTTTTAACATGGGGTACACACTAGTCACATTCCATGGGATTGGGAAACATTTCTTCTTAAAGCAGTAGTTGGAAAGTTTTGCTAAGATTGAAAACTGTTCTGAATCAAGGTTCTTGAGAACTACTACAGAGATTTTATCCAGACCAGTAGATTCAAGGCATTTGATAAGACTTCTCAAGCTAATATAAGGATATCATAAAGCATGTACTTCATGTGGTGGGGGAAGTCAAGTAGAGGAAGGTCTTTGTCATCTTACCTAGAGTTAGAAGCAAAGTTCATGGCAAAGAGCTTATAGCGAAGAAAACGGTGACTTACCTCATCAAACCAAGCGACAGCGCATCGCGTGTATTCTACGAAGAAAAATATGGCGAAAAAAATTACTTACCAAACAAAAGGGCACGATTTCTGCATGACATGCTAAAGATGGAATGTTTGAATTTAAAAAAAAAACAAGTCCGTCGCAGGAGTCATTAGAAAAGTATTTTGATATGCAAAATACTGAACATCCTCTCCCAGCTGTCGATGAATGGAAAAAATGCTCGGCCAATAAAAGCAGTTGGTGTTCTCGAATCAGGAGGAGGAATTTGGACATTTTGGCTACCGCATTTGTTGGAGAATGAGTTATTTTTCTGACTGGTTGCATGATTTTGAGATAGTACCTGTGAATCAAGTTTTCGGCATTTCTTTTCGGTGTTTAAGTCTGAACTTACTGATTTATTCTCTGTGACATGGAAATAATCTGCAACAAACATTTCCTTTGCAATCCCAGATCGTTTACAGAGCTTAGCCTTAGCCAATGAGAAGATAATTTGTCTCTTCTTGCTCAAGACAGAAAACATTATTTCTAGACAAGATAATCACTGAAAATAGAAATTGATTTATTGCAATAATTGAAAAAAAATCATAGCTAGAAGCAAGATTGTTTTCAACAATTCCCTATAAATGTAATTCAATGGGGGAAAAACAGCTTCTCTTTGATAAGATTCATTCTATCTCTAAGGTGGCCATTGCTAAAATTTTGCTTGCCTAACAGCAGCAAGGAATATATTAGGAATCTGTGGATTCCAGACATCAGCAGCCTTTGAAAACTGCAGATGCCACGGATAATACAAGAACTGACAAGGATGGTAGCCACCCGGTAAAAGACATACATTTCATCAATCACATCCCAATTCAATGCTGTCCCACTCGATCCATTAGCCCTTACGCTATACATTGCACTCCATGGGGTTTTGTCATCATTGATCAATAAGCAAACCATTATTGACATCATTGTATTGGTTACTATGCCTCACCTGAGCCAGACAATATTACTATTAGAAAAATAAGTCATCACTATGTCACCTCATCATATTTCCAGCAGTTTCAGACAGATGGTTAAGTTTAAGTATGAAGGAGACTGCATGAGGCTAGGGATCTAGTCTGTCAGCCGGGTGTTGTGCAAGGAGTTGGTGGTTAAGTAATAGTGTAGGGTGTACTACCATTGCACTGTGTTTGATCTTCATTTATGCTCCACACTTGTGGCCTTATGCCAGACTAATCTCAATAAATAAAGTATTTGTGTTATCTGAAAGATATGGGATTTATTTGTGGCTGAAGGAAGAAGGAATGTTTGAACCAATTTTAATCTCTTTCTACTGTGAAATATAGATTTGACCAACCCATTGCTAGGTAATTTTGCTAGTTGATGTAATAAAAAAAGAATGGGAGCGTTTTTTATACTATTGTTCATCTAATAAGACTTAAGAGCCAATCAAGTTAAAGGGATGAAGTTATTGTATGTAGATAACAGTTGAAAAGGTTAGGTTTGTTGTGATCAGTGAAGTATTTTCTCAGGAGTCAGTTCCACAAAATACCTATTCTTGGGATGAAGTTGTCCAAATGAAACTTCCATCTTACTAATGGAATATGATGGAAATATCGATGATTCAACCCTGTGTACGTGGCATGGTAGGTTATCATTTTCCATCGAAATAGTGATAGAGTAGTGTGAGTCTGGCAATGTTTTATCTGAGAGAAAGTGGTTGTAGGGAGGAAAATAATTCATCACCCACAAGGCCACATAGATGCTTTTAAACTCTGGAAAGAGATGATTGAGCAGCTCCAGCCCAGATATGACAGCAACACTCTATTTTTGGTTTGATCTAACTCTTGTAAAGACAGCTTGGATGTGCAGCTGGTGTAATGGATAATGGCTCAGACTTGTTAATCAGAGAGCTGAGTTCCAAATCTGGCTGGGTTTGTCATATTCATTTATGTGCAAACACGCTTGAGAAATTAATAAGAGGTTAATTAGTTTAAGTTAATTAGTAAGACTTGTATCAATAGATCATTATTACTCAAAAAAAGTAAATTCTTACAATCAAAAAAATGTTCTGGCTTTAAATAACCTGCAAAGTGTTGATAAGCCATAAAAATACAACTCCATCAATCATAGATATGGACAGCAGCATGCTTGTAGACTAAAGAAAGGGCTCAGCTTGAAATTCCCTCAAGATTGCCTTGATTGATAGACACCTGAAGAAGGTCAGAGGGCACAGTGGCTGAAATATTGGGATATCAATAAAGATAAGGATATTAGTCTGCAAATAATCACATCTTCTCTTTTAAGAGACCCAAATTGATATCATGTTTTTCTTATTTTCACATTGTTACACTTAATATTATAAATTGTGCACATCAAATCCTTGCACCAATAAAACTCATTCTCTAGACAAAATTTGTGATCTTATAGGTTCATCCTTCTTCTTTTCTATGCCATGTTTTGTTAGGACATGCCTCTCCACAGCTTCTCCTTTGTCCTCTTATTATCCCTCCCAAGTAAACCCAGATTCTATGTATGTGTACATGTTATATCCTTTTTATATTTTTTATTATTTTTTCCAGGGGACTTATGCTGGACAGTTTATAATGGAAGTAAGTTGACTCCTTTCTCTCTTATATAAAAATGAAAACACATCTAAGCATTGAAGTCTTTTATTTTCATTTAGTTATTAATTTTTTAAAATTTTCAAATGGAATTTTATGACATTATTTTTATTGAAGCAAATGTCCTTATTGATGAAACCATCAATATAATTTGTAACTCAGCCTATAAACATAACTTGAATCCATCTTCATCTATCAAACGTAATATTCTCAAGAGATTAGTATATTCCTGCACAACTAAAGTTCCTTTCTACAACCATACTAGTAATATTTATACCCAAACTAGCAGAGTTAGTATGGGAAATCCATTTAGACTCTCCCTCTCAAACTACCTGTCTCATGTTGAAAACAAGGTATTTAAAAAAAATAAGTTACCCAACCTAAAATATATTTAAGCTGTGGAGATATTTTTTAACCGCAGTACCTTGTCACTCATTTTTGGTGAAACTTGTGTATGAATGTATGCATGTGTGTGTGTGTGTGTGTGTGTATTTATATATATATATATATATATATAATATATATATATCTCAATTCTCTTACTCTCTTGTCACTCTCTCTCTCTACACACACACACACACACACACACATGTGTGTGTGTGGACTTCGTGCGTGTAAAATAATTGTCCCTGGTTAAATATAATTGGCAGAAATTCTCAACAAAGTTTGCAATAAACAATAATAAAAGAAAGAAAAGAAGAGGGTAAAAATAATATTGAGCAAACGATACATGCAAGACAAAGCAACAGTAAGAAGGCAAAAAGTTAACAAACTAAAAATGGTGTTAACACACAAAAGGGATACAGACAAGCGATTGCAGTGTTCTGACTTCAAGACAAGAACGTAACTAAATTGGATGAGACCAACAAGTGGCCTATCTTATTGGCTAGGAAGAAATCCCAGCATACATCTCTGTTTTGTCTATAAATCTGAGGAGTGGAGATGTTTTTGCATTCATTCCAAACAGTGAATGGAACGAATAATGTGTATATCTACAAATTAATGTAAATTTGTTTTTTTAAATTTATACATATATACATTGAAATTTTTTCCCATAAAAGAAAGGAATACAGGTTCAATTCTGGCTAAGAAACACATTTTCTTTCATAAGACTTTTGATAATCTATTCCAGCGTCATAAGATAGGTAGGGAAGTCTACTCAAACACATGTACCAACTAAAATAACTGTTATAGTAATATATTGTTATATTGGAAAAAATTCATTACTCTTAAGTTACACTTATATATCTCGGTGTTAGTAAAATTAATGGCAAAGGGAAAACATTTTTATATGATGTCTTTCATCAGGACTTCATTGGGCAAAATGATGTTTCCATTAATGCAACTACACATATGCACAAAGGAGAGAGGACACTGAAACTTTAAACTTAAACTATATAGTCTAGCCAATTTCATTTAGTTTCTTTTTGTTTCTGTTTTTATCATTTTTGTTATTAAGGCTCCCAAATTGTGATAATAGAAGGGGAAATGTTGAAACAAAATGGATATGAATTTGTGGATGATCTAGCAATTAAAGTGCTTTCTATACACTTTTGTCTCAGTAAATTGCTTTCTCTTAAAGTAGAATTTTTTAAATTGAAATTATGGTCAGCCACATTACAGTGAGCAGTTAATATATTGAGTGTGTTGTTTTGTAAAAGATCCCTTTTGTGTTCATTTAATCTTTTATTTAAATTCCCTGAGGTTTTTTGTGGCAATTATTACAGGTAATAGAGTAAATTCCTCCTTCAAGTTTTAGCTTATTTGTTTTGTATTAAGTCTTTTCTTGTTTTAAAAGTAGTTGTAGCAAATTTTATGTTAAGCTTAGATAAATTCTTTTCATTTGTAGTTGTGATAGTGTTGGTAGGTAGAATAATATGTATTCTGTTATATAAAAATTTAGATATCATTTTTTTTTCCCCCCATATATATATGTATGTAATGATTTCAGTCCTCACTGGGTGATCCACACCTGTGACCTTATACCAAAATGGAGCTATGCTTTGTAAATAACAAGAATGTATATGTTTGCAACTTAACATTAATGACGTAAAACACAAAACTGATGTTGGGAATATATTTAAGCAACATTTTTTTTTCCTCTGAGAAAATGCTTGAAATTGAAAAAGAAATTTTTCTTTCTTGTAGGGTTTTTTGAATATTCATTGGGCTAAGTGGAAACGTGTTTTAATGACTCGATCCATTGCAATGGTTCCTACCATTCTGGTGGCAATACTTGCTACTAATTATCTTGATATAATGAACAACTGGCTCAATGTGCTGCAAAGTGTTGAGTTGCCTTTTGCTCTCTTCCCTATCCTCCATTTCACAAACAGCCGAAGGATCATGGGAAATTTTCGAAATGGCAAGTAAGTAAAATCTATTTCCGTTTTTTCTTCTTTTCTAGTTCTATATTATTTCCTGTACTTAAAACAATGGTTTTCAACATATTTATTTTTATCTTGGAGCTCACTTAAAAATGCAAATCATTTGAAATACTCCACCGGCTTTTTATTCTAGTGGGAATGTCTGGAATGTAAATGTCGCTTTAATATGCTAAGAAACATAGCTTCATTTTCTATTGATTTACCACAAATTATGCATGTAAGATGTGGTGGATTTCCTTCACTACATATGAAACTGAATGATAAATAATCTTCATTATATTGACGAATAATTGTTTTTAATTTGGTTGCTCGTCTACTGGATGGAGCAGTGTATTCAACACACTAGCACCATCTTCTAATTTTTGTTTCTTAATTAAAAGCTTGTCCATATTAATTGAATTAAAAATACACTCAGTACAAGCTACATGTTCTCACTACTTCAGGCACAATTCCATATGTGCACAATGAGAGATTCCCGAGCGAGCTTGGATGATTTCAACATATATCAGCATTCATCAACAGGTCCTTCTCAAATCATGGCATCTATGGACATTTCTGATGACCTTTTTCTCACAACCCACCCACTTTATATATTACGTATACATTTATTATAACACTGACATACTTGTATAATCCATTTAAAGGGGGTTTTAATTTTGATATGTACACTTATTGTTCTTTGGGCATCTTTCAAAAAAATATTTAATTAATGACCTTTAAAAATTTTCACAGCATACATATGATCTTATGGCAGATGAGTGTGCTGCAGCACACCGGTTGAAAATCATGGACTTAAAACTTTATCAAACTGAGAATTCTTTTTAGAATAAAGCAAAAATATTGAAATCTGAAACTAGACATCTCCCTCGAGTTTTTTTTCTTCTTCAAAAAAAGAAAAAAGTTAATCCAGGATAACTAAGTTATCAAGGATTATAACTCTTTTTCTAATGTTTTAAGATATTTTACCAAAATTTCCTCTTTAATAATTTATCTTAAAAAGTATAAATTAATTATACCAGTAATAGTTGTTTAAAAATTGGTGAGATTGTCGTTGACAACTATTAAGTTCAATTATATACTTATAAAATAACAAATGAAGCAGTAGTGTTTGTAGAGGGGGAAAAAATCCTGACTATGGCTATATCATACTGAAACACTGATTCTTGTACAATCACCAAAATTAAACAACGTTGATCCTGGTCAGTACCTGGATGGGTGACTGCTTGGATGTACATGTGGTGCAATGGATAATGGCTCAGATTTGTTAATCGGAGAGCTGTGTTGCAATTCCAGATGGGTTCATTACATTCACTTATACACATTATTCACTCTCCTTGGGAAAAGTATAAATCTACCTCTTCTTCTCCCAGCTATGGGTTAATTAGTAAGACTTGTATCACTAAATCATTATTATCTCAAAACAAAAAATTTCTTACAATCTAAAAAAAATTTTCTGGCTTTAAAAAAAAATTCTTACAATCTTTTAATTTTTTCTGGCTTTGCAAAGGGTTGAATAGCCCATAAAAAACAAATCAATCAATAAAAAAATAAAAAAACTTATAAATTAAGCTTTGATAAAATTAACAAATTAGATTAAAATTATAGCAGACATATTAGAACATATACTAATATTGAATTAGTTAGCAATTTTTAATCTTCATGCCTGCAAAAAAAAAACAGTCTATCAAAAGGACAGTTTTTCCCTTCACACTGCTATTATTTTAACTACCTTCACTCCTCGGCAACATTTATTGTTTTAAAAAGTGATAAAAATTGTAATAAAACTTAAACGTATGATGAAAGTGAATTTATATATTTTTTTTTTTTTTTTGAGAATTTGCAACAAAAATATTAAAGACTATTATTTATTAGATTGTTTATTTACAAGAATAATAATTATATTTACAATATTCTAAAAACTAATACAATGAAATATTTATCAATTACCAATTTATAAAGAAATAAATATAAAAAAATGTTTAATTCATAAATTAATAAACATTTAATAAATTTTAAAAATATGTGAACCAACTATAAAGAAATCCTTATTATTTACCATTTTATAGCATTTGAATCAATTGACAAGAAGCTCATGTTTTGACAACGATTTCAATAAACAATTTAATAAATAAATTCTCCTATATAGTATGTCCCTTCAGGACGTTGGCAGTCATAGCTTTCTACAATTTGCTGTAACTTTGTAGCTCTTAGTAAGTTTTGTCTTTTTGTTATCTCTCATAAACCTTGTTTTTCCATCCACTTAGACAAGCTCATTAAGTAGGTTATGTGCCATTTTCCTCTCTCCCTCTTTGCTTACAATCTGTCCTGTGAGCATCAAATTTTCCAAGTCCTCTTTTCTCATTGTGTGCCCTAGAACTGTCTCTTTCTGATGTTAAATATTGATGTAATTAAATAAACTGTCACCATCATGTGTGACTACACTATAGGTAGTAGCTACCTCTAAATATCTGTAAGTCAATGGACTACAGAGACTAGCTGGGACCTGTTGAGTATGATTCAGACTTACACAAGAACTACCGACCTTCCAATAGTAGTCCTCGCTACTAGATTGACTTGCATTGACCTTGTACATACCTGTTACCTTTATTCTTATTTTACTGGTTTTACAATAAACTTTTACTTATTTCATCCATCTTGTTTATCAAGTATATATTCCTATTAGAAGAGAATATAACAAATATAAATCTCCTTTTTGTTTCCATTTTCTCTAAAACTTTGTCATTGCTCATATGTTCAGTCCATGGTATTCTCAGCATCCTTCTGTAGAACCATATTTCTGTTGTTTCTGTGAGGAGATTGTCCAGCATTCACTGCCATATAGAAGGACTGCTATTGCATAACAGTTTAGTACTCTTTTCTTTGTTTCTACCAAAATTTTCCTGTTTCTAATACTTTGCTTAGCTTTTAGAAGGCAGCTTTTGCTATCCAAATGTGCCTTTGGATTTTAGTGTTACTCTTCCCATTTTCTATTAAACACTGCAATGTCATTAGGCCTGAACTTGTATCTCTGCTTCAGTCACTTCCCCACCGCCACTTCTCTGCATCCTTTCTATAAATACTTTCATGGTAATTGTTCCAATGAACATTCCTCTATGGTACCTAGACTTTTTGAATTTAAGTGCAGTACTAGATTGGCAGAAGGGTCTCATCATCTTATAATTGAAAAGGCTAGAAGTTCTATGCTAACAGTTTCTTCCCTCACACTTTTCACTTGAGAAACTCTCTTCTGGGTTCTTGCTTTACTGTCAAGTTTGATTTTCAAAAATTTAAAAGCAATGTCAATTATCTCCTGTCTTCTTAATTTCTGTTCTTTCATTGTTTTCACTCTTTAATAATGTTTTTCTTATTTTCTTTCACTCACAGCAATCACCTTTGTTGCCTTGCTTGGGGTGAAAAGATTATTAAAAAAAAATTCACAGCTATTTAAATTGTTGTACTTATTTAATTTTAGTATCTCCAATTTGTAATTTACAGGTTGGTTTGTTCCTTTTGCTAACAACCATGTATTCTATCTTGATATTTAGTCTTTTCTTCTCACTTTCCTTCACTGTCTTCTGTAGAGGTTCTTGTGGTTTCCATTCTGGATCTGCTATCAGTACTATCATCTGCATATATGATTAAGATTGTGACTGACAATAATGAATCCTGGCAGAGCTTCTAATTCTCTCAGAATGATCTCACTGTATAGGTTGAATAAGTCTGGCAAGAAGACCCTTCCTTGTCTTATACCCCTTTCTATTTTGTTATATTTATTGAATTCATTTTTCCCAAATATGTCATTGTTACCTACCAGTTCTAACAGTTCTTTGACTAGCCTAATTATTTCCATCAATTTTTCCTTTCCTCGGCAGTGTTTATTTGGTATAGCATGTTTATTATATTTCAAAAAATTTTCTCTGTGGATTATTTTGTTCCAGAAATGAAATATTCTTGACTTATTTTATAAATTTGAAAATCCTCACTGACATGACTATTCCAGATATTGATTATTTTGGCTACAAAAGAATAGACGGCCAATAAACATTAAAAAATATTACACCTTCTGTCCCACAATTGCTGTTACATTTAGGGTATAAAATTTTTATACAAATGTAACAATCCTTATAGGATAAAAGTAATAATAGTTTTAATGCTTATTTGTTGACTCTTGTGTACTAAATACAAGTGCCAGTATAGTTAAAGTACTTCTTTTAATTCTCTCTGACCCCAACAAGGAAAGCTTATGGCCATATCACATTGAAATACTGGTTATTGTACAATCAACAAAGTTAAGTATTGTTGATCCTGGTCAGTACATAAAGAGGTGTGAGAGAATTGGTTGGAAGCACACTAAAAAAAAAGGAAAAAAAAACTATATACAAGCCCAATAGAGCCAATAGGCAAATTAATTCCGCAATTATCTCCATTCCTCAATCTCAAATACTCAACTCCTCATCAGAAACAAGACTCCTTTTGAGTGAGTATACCATGCTTTTATGCACCTGACCCAGCTATCACTCAGCCAATGAGCACCCAGAACCAGCCAATAAAAATGGCTACAAGCGACACCACTACTTCTGTCCACATGAAGTGCTGCCTGATTTACATTCAGTCAGAAGCTCGCCAATTTGCCATCTCCACACTCCATTACAAAATATACACACGACTCTGGCCCTTTTGGGTTGTCAACGCAAGTTTCCTCTACAATAGGTGAACACTTAGGAATACCAATACACCATCTACACATCTAAGCTTAGATGTGCAGGTGGTGTAATGGATAATAACTCAAAATCAGATCAGAGTTCGAATTCCAGTCAAGCTTGTTATATTCACTTATGTGCAAGGTATGGAAAAGGTATGGATCCCCCTCTTTTCACTTCATCTTGTGGCCTTGTTAGAGCCAGAAATAAAGACACAAAGAGAGAAATTGAGTTAAACAAATATATTAACAGAAACAGTAATACAAACGAGAGTGTTACAGCAAGAATGTTCAGTCCAATTGTCAGAACTGACTGCTGTAAACATCCCTCTCCAAAAGGCAGTACCTGCTCCTATTTATAGCTGGGAGAGTCCATGCGTGCGTGGGTAAATTACCATAACACATAGGTTACAACAGATTGATAAGCCATAAAAAACCAAATCAATCAATAACACAGAGCTTATTTCATACGGCATGCTTATTGCCTTAAATTATTTTTTCATGGGCCACATGATTATTTTGTTCCACATTTATTTAACTTGTATAAAAATTCCTGACAGGATATTTATTTGAACTGTCACACTTATTTTATAAATATGTTGCAGGCACTGCTCCTAGTTAGACTGAAAGCAGTGGTAACAATATTATACCCAAGTAAATGACAAATGTAAGGAAATGAATGACTTTCAACAAGGTGTTATATGAAAACCAAAATATAAAGTAAGATAGAAAATGCACAAATATGCATGCAAATATGTTACAGAATTATGAAGGCCAGAGCCAGAATGGTCGGTGATTGACCAGAGTGCCTTGTGGGCATGGTATTCTGTCAGTGATATATTGCCTTTGTTTAGGTTTTAGCTATAAGTCCAAAATGGCATGAATTCAACAGAGGGCCACAAGAATTTTGAAGTGTCGATACGCTTCCTACACCCATGTACAAAAGACCAACTAAGGCCACATGTGGAGGGATGCTAAGTTAACATGTAACATGCATTCCCATGATGTTATTTTCTCTTATTCCTCTTACAATCCAAGCTTCTGCATCTGTCCTTCTCTCCTAATAAAACAAATAAGAAAAACAAATTATCCTTTTCATTAATACCATTTTATATAGTAGAGTGGGGGGGGCGGGGCAGAGATGACACAGAGCACGACAAAAAGAAGGAAGACATTACCTGTTAAGGATTATGGGGGTGATGTACATGTGTCTGTATGTGAATAAAGTTCCATCACTAAGGGAGAAAATATTCACATGCTTTGGGACACAGTCTTGTGGGTATCTGTTGCGGGGGCCGAGTAGGATGTCGCCCCCGCAGAGTTTATGTTGATAAATGTGAACAGCCAAGACAATGAGGGGACAAAGGCAAAGGTTTTTTATGAACAAAAGTGTTGAATTTATTAACACGTTTACATCGGTGTCGGGTCCGGTATGACTGGTTGATTGGCGAACGTAGCTGGTTCGGTCGAATAGCGAAGACGGAGTCCCTAAACAGGGCCAAGGCAGAACAGTGATGCGACTTCACAGGGCAGATCGACCGCGGAGACGGGATCGCGCCAAAGTGTATCACTTTGCAAAGACGGAGTCCCTAAACAGGGCCAAAGCAGAATAGTGATATGACTCCACAGGGTGGATCGACTGCGGAAACGGGATCGCGCCAAAGTGTATCACTAGGCGAAGCAGGTCAGAGAGGTGTTACACCTTCCAGGGCGGATCGACCGTGGAGACGGGATCGCGCCGAAGAGTAACACTCTCGACAAAAGCACCGGAAGTTCACAAAGGCAGTGTACTACACTTTGATCCAGGCCTCTGGGCCGAGCAGCTTGGATTTGGATGAAAAAAGTGGCTAAGAATAAGTACTCCCTGGCTAGAGGGAGTAGAAGACCGTAGATAATAAATTACACTCTATGGTTGCTGATGTTTGGAATGTCTCTGCATAGTCAGATGCACACGAGGTATGGTTTGGCATAAACGATATTGGACTAGCCGTCTGGTTTCTTGCATGTTGCTTGACCTAGATCTGCGAGATCAGGAGTTGTGAAGGTCAAGGTCGGCTTTCTAAGGAGCGGCTAATCGGCAACCGCGACATATCCTCAATACAGCATGATGGGTGGAAAACTGAGAAATGGATGAAGACAGGAAATGACCTATTTTTATAGGTACTTGACGGCATCACCTAGTGACTTCCTGACAAAACTGGCATGACTCTTTTCAGATGGCACTTGTATTTGATAGAATAGTAAATAGATTAAATCTGCTGATTTGTTTTTGTTATTTAGGCAGTTGTGAAAGATAGTGTTTACCCAAAATGTCCATCAGGATTCAACAGATTAAGAAACAGGTTTTGATTTATGATTCTTGTGGCAGTGAAGGAGATAACCAAGTTTTATCATGAAAAAGAATTCATATTCTTTGTGCTGTCAAAAAAGAAAATCAAGATCGGGTCGGCTTTAGTTGGTGTCAAAATATGGTGATGATGCTTCCCTACCAGTCTCAAGTAACCACAACCTTTTTTACCCCTCAATAAAAGAATGCTAGATTGGACCACGGGATTGCTTGCATCCCCTACACTTTCCATGGGTGAAGAAGGTAGTTTTGTATTGCAAGTTGTGATGTGGATTTTTTACCATTTTTGATTTACTCTCCCCCCACCATTTTCTAATGTTGGACTTGTAAGACAGAATTTTTACTTTTGTAATTACTACCTTTGGACTTATAAGTTGTTGTTGTTTTCTTGATATCTGAACTACATTGGTAAATTCTGAAAATACAGTTAGTTTTCATTTTAACTTTGAGTAAAATTTTTAACATATCCAACATTGTTCAAATACTCACGCCTTTTTTTTTTTTGTAGTGATGCTGTTGTTGAATCTGTATGACTCTGAGAAGTCTTTAACAAATCCAACATTGTTCTTCTATACATTGATGCTGTTATTAAGACTATAACTTTGAGAAAACTCTCTAACCTATTCAACATTGATCAAATACTCATGTCTCTTCTTTGTATAGTTACTCTTTCCAAGACTATCACTCTAAGAAGAGTCATTAACATAACAAACTCTTTTTTCTGATGCTTAAATATTTTTGTATATTTGCTGCTATTATAACTTTTGGTGATGAAATGTGAGCACACCCAACATTGTTCAGATGCTCCTTCTTGCTATTTTCAAAAGTTATCAATTAGCTTTCATTTTAACTATGAGAAGAGTCTTTATCATATCCAACATTGTTCAAATACTCACATCTCTTCTTTGTATTGATGCAGTTGTTAAGACTTTAATTGTGAGAAATGTCTTTAACATATCCAATATTGTTCCATGAGAAAAAAGACCTTTTTCTTCCAGGAAAAAAAATGAAACATTCAAAGAGGCTTTTTTGAACAACATTGGACTTATATAATTTTAGTTTTTATATTTATTTATATTTTGTCATCTTGTTTTTGAACACTGATTTATTTAATTATTTTTTGTAAATTGTCCTTTGATCATTGCGTTATTTATTTCAGAATTTTACAAGCCCTTGTATGGTTCCTTGCTATTTTTGATATGGCTGTTAACATTTACCTTGTTATTCTATTCATTGTAAGTATTATTGGTTTAACTTTTTAAATAAATTCTTTTTGGCAGATTTCCATCTTATTTGTCCAATCTTGTAAGAGTTTTCCTAAATTGAATCTTTTTCAATTATTGTAAAATAAGCTTATATAAAATTTGATTTTTATTTATTATTTGATTTGTTTTCTCATAGCGCAGATATATGAAGTTAAGTGTAGCCATCCTTAATTCAAGCTGTCGTGAGTAAGACGATAAACTACATCTAACAATAAGGTTTCTGATGAGGAGGTTTTGAGAAGTGTGGAACCACCTCTTAATTGCTGATGCTCCTAGGTCCACCCTGACCCGGGGTGGTAGCATCTGTTAGGGTCCCAGCTATGGGCAAATTTGTTGACTCTCAAACTGGAGTCAAAACACTATGAAAGTGAAAAAATAGGTTTTAATACCAGCAATACATTTTTGTAAAAGTTTTTACAAAAATGTATTGCTGGTATTAAAACCCATTTCTTGTCGGCATTAAATAACCCACTGAGGTTGATATGCCATAAAACAAACCAAACTAAACTTTAATTCAACCCTCCAAGATGGTGATAAGCAGGCACACAATATACCAGTAATAGAACACTAGTATTTTGCTACTGAAATATTTCAGTGAAATTAGTTTCAGAATAATAAATTAGTAGAATGGATAATATAAATGACCCAGAATATAAAAATTCTATTATTAAGTTTCTTAATGCTTCAAAGTGTTATTTAAATTTATTTTTTCAAATTGATTCATTAAACTCATTTCAAACAATGCAAACTAAGTTTAGAAATATTTTTTTTATTGTTTATTACATTTTTATTAATCAACAAGAGAAGCATGTGAATATTTCTCATATAAAATTAAAGTATTAATGTCCTGAAAGTTTCTTAAAATTTTAAGAGACAAAGCACTTCCAAAATTTAGAAATTTAGAAAACAGATATCGGCACAGCAGGTGAGACCAGCAGACCAGGTTCCAATTCCCACCTCACCTGCTGAATTCATATATTTGCACTAATGTCTTTGGGAAAGGTATGAATTCCTCTCTTCCCTTTCAGCTATGGGTTAAACAGCAGGGAAAACATGGCTCTCTAGTCTTAGGTAGCAGCCAATCTAGAATTCCAAACTACAGAAAAGGCAACAGAAAACTGTTGCACTATCTTTCCCCAAAAGTTATGACCATTCACAGACAATAAAGATAAGGAAGCTGTGGAGAATCATGATCACCTACATCCTGAAAGGATATAGCATTAAAAAAAGTAATCAGATATTACAAAATTTAATTTTCTAAATTGGATTATCATTCTAAAGCAATAATTTTTCAGAATGGGAGACAACCTTGGTACGTGTATCTTGCAGTCAGTGTGATAGCCTTCGTATATCTCACCTTTGTCATTTACTTGGTAAGTAAATATCAACCTAATTATTTTCTTCATCCCATTCTTCATTTCTTACATGATTTTCTAAGTTGAATAATCTTTGATCACTAAAATAGCATGGAATAGAAATAGAATACCAAAAGTAGGTGTTTTCATATTGTCTTCTATATTCGATAAATGTGTGACATCATGAACCGCAATACAACATTTTGCTTCTTGTGTTTCATATGCACAAATTTATCATTGCATAGCAATCTTCCATGCAAACAAAACAAACTACCTTTGTTGCAATGTCTGCATAACCATTCTAAAATAAAAAATTACCATCTTTGTTATATAATTATTTAATTTATTGTAATGTACTTGTAATCTCTGATGATGGCTTGTGTAAACCGAAAGCTTAGACAGGATTAACAATAAAAACATGTATAAACATAGTGATTTTCTTTCATATTTCAGTGATAATGCTAAAAAGCTTATTCAACAATATGAAAGGAATTTACTTAAAATAAAGAAACAAAACATGTCTATACTATATTATTTAATGAAACATATATTAATATATATATATATATATATATATAAAAAAAATGCTATGATAATGAACTCTCTTCCCCAATAAATGTAGCATATATATATATATATATATATATATATATATAAATGATAATGAACTCTCTTCACCAATAAATGTAGCATATATATATATATATATATGCTATGATAATGAACTCTCTTCCCCAATAAATGTAGCATATATATATATATATATATATAAAAGGGAGTTAGAGAATATAAGGAAATGAGAAAATGTTGAAAAGAAGAAATAACCACAACCTTCTACACACACAAACAAAATGGGGAAAAAAATCAACCAACACTAATAAATAGCATATAAACTATTTTTTAACACAATATAAATATAATGGAAATGGGAAAATCAATCATGAAATGCTGAAAACTGATGAATGGACTGAACAATTACAAAAAGGGTTTGTCTACGAAACTTTGGATTCGGGATTCTGAATAGAAGTTCAATCAGATAGGTGACAAATTTTATATTTGTATTAATCATATGTATATATTTAAAGTAATTTCAAGTAAAGTGAAAAAAAATTTAGAGAAGAAATAGGTTTTTTGTTAATAGGGTAAAAATTATCTTTTTTTTTTTCCTTCAACAGATTATTACCAAAAAAATGCATATTTGTATATTAAAGGCAAATGCAAAAGTCATTGGAGTGTTCTGGGGATGGTTTCATGCAGGAATCTGTTTCATAAAGTAGCAGTTCTTGGGAAGAAGCTGTCCAAATGGAACTATCTTCTTACAAATAGAATACAAAGACTATAAGAGTGATTCAACCCTGTGGACAAGGCAGGTCTTAGCTATGAAGGTCTGAACTGGTTGGACTAGCTAGCTTACATGGAAATAGCAATAGTCATAACACATTTGTGATTGTCATCTATGGGGAAAGAGGCTGTAAGATGGAAAATAAGTCATAACCCACAAAAGATTTATTTTGGTGAAAAGTATACAATTTCCTTAATAGCTTTATCAAATATATTTCTAATTGAATTTTCTTTATTTTCCAGAGCATTGGTATTAAAAACTATTTGAAACTGAAAGTAAGTTCAGCTTTTATTGTTTTTTGTTTAATTATTTCACATCAAGCAAGGTGATAATGCCACTAAGAAGGGCTATGAGGAGTAAAAGAGAATAAAAATTTAAAAGGAACAAGAAACCCAATCCTAAACAGGAAACACGGGATAAACCTCTGCTCATGTTCAAAAGATGAGATTATTTTTTTATCTAAAAAAAAAATCACCAATTTTAATTGGTTCAAATTATATTAGTGATTTTTTTTCTTTCATTTTTTTTATAGTCTCATTGCAATTATCATTTTGTAAGATTTGTTTATTTTTTTTATCACATCTAAATTCCCATAACTCAATGATTATTTTATATATTTATTTTTTTAATTTCTTTTGGCAAACATGAATAAATGTGCCCACAATAAGACACTGTCAAAAGGACAGTTTTTCCAATGACGTTGCTTATATGACAATATTTATGGTTTTAAAATGCAATGATTAGAATTGGGATAAAACTTAAACATATGATGAAAAGGAATTCATACATTTTTTTCTTCTTGAAAATTTACAACAAAAAAATTAAATGCTGTTTATTTATTAGATTGTTTATTTACAAGAATAATTTTATTTACAACTTCCTAAAAAAGCTAATACAATTAAAACTAATGCAATACAATAATTATCATTTACCAATTTATAAATAAATAGAATTATTTATTCATAAATTTATCAACATTTACTAAATTATTAAAATATATGAAGCAACTATAAGGAAATCTTTATTATTTACCATTTTATAAAGTTTGAATCAGTTGGCATAATGGAAGTAAATAATAACACATAATGTTCAACAGTTACATGCCATGTAAATAATATCTCATTTTTTTGATCACTAATAAAACAGGGTGAGAGCTATGGAAGAAAGATTTATTCTCCATTTACATTTCCCCCATTATGGGCATTATTATAACTGATATAATAATACCTTACTTCATGGACGGAATGGAATGGCTGAAAGCAAGATGAATGATAAACATGCTTTGTTCTTAGAGAGACTTTTATATCACTAAGACATACACAAAACTATGTATACATATATACATGTGTCCTATATGGAAAACAATATATCATATATCTACACAGCAAGCAGAGTGTAAGGAGAAACAAAAAGGAAGGGTCTTACATATAATATGGAGATTTTTCTGTGTTTCTGGAGAAGCCATGTTTAGGATTCCAGATTTAAACAGGTTGGATTCATCTATGTCCCAAGCAAGGACATATTCCACAAATGTAAAATGGCGAGTCTTGGTTTTTCCCAAATTGAGGACTGCTAGTTGGAGATTTCTATATCTGGGGAAGAAATATTCCATTGGGGAAAATGGTTCCATAGACTGTAGAATTTGCTGTAGGAGGCAGATTTAGCCTCATTCAGGGTACCTTGGCTCATGCTAAAAAAGCAACCACTCAGTTTGGTTACTGTAAACAAACTGAATGACTGGTCACTCTCATCACTGTATGAAATGACATCACTAAGCGGCCGTCATGTGACTCATCTCCACCAAAGTTAGATAATCACCTTTTGTATCTCTACAGGCAATTAACTGATGTTTTACCAACTATTCCAATAAATAATAACAATTAAATAGTGTTTATTATTTTTGTTGTCAATTGTCAAGATCAAAGAAAATGTATAAATTCACTTTCATATACTTAGGTTTTATTACAATTCTTATTGCTTTTTAAAATTCGGCTCCAGCCAAAATTTTTAGCTGCTAGAAAAACATGATTCCCATTGGCCGATATATGTAAAATCTCCTTCCAAGTATTCAAAAATTGTAGATGCACAAGATCTTGACGCTTTGCCACTTGAGCCTAAAAAACCATAAAAATGCACAAAATTTAACATTTTTTTTAATAAAAAAATAAAATTTTTATATTAGTTTTAATTGTATTAGTTCTTTTTTTTTTTTTTTTTTTTTTTTTTTTTTAGAATATTGTAAATATAAAATTATTCATGTAAATAAATAATCTAACAAATAGTGTCTAATATTTTTTGTTGTAAATTCTAAAAAAAACAAAGAAAATGTATAAATTCACTTTCATATGTTTAGGTTTTATATATAATTCTAATCATTGCTGTTTAAAACAATAAACATTGCCGAAGAGTTCAAAAAGCAGTGTTATGGGATAAACTGTCCTTTTGAAACTCCACCTTGTTGGCAGGCACTTTTATCCATGTTTACTCTTTCTATTTCTTAGTGCCAAGAAATAATGATAGTCTATAAATGTAAAAAAAAAAAAAAATATGAATGTATGGCTAATGAAAATGAATAATTCAGATTGTCATTGTCAAAAGTAAACAATTTCATTTTCTTATCTTTCATGTGATAAATTGAGATCATCATGTATTTTCTACCAGCACCAATGGTCAGTGCTTGTGCTGATTTTTGAATGCTGGTTTTCAAGGCAAGCATGTTCTCTTCATCTGGGAAATTGAAGCAACACAATCTTCATTTTTCCATTTGAAGATAGTAAATTTTTACATATTACTTTATTTTTCTGTATTTTCTCTTTCTACAGAGGCTTGTGCTGAACAAATTTGGTTACCCCACACATGAATGTGACGCTGCTCTGGAAGAATTAGAACGAACAAGTTACACTCAATTCTGA